ATAAGGAAATATAAAATAACAACTTTATTATTGCCTCTAGGGCATATTTCCTTCATTTTTATCACAAGAGTAATTGAAAAAAAGTAAATAGTAACAAAAGTGCAATGGTTCAACAGGTGTCCCGTCCTTAATTTTACTAAGGACAAGCCGGTGGTTTTACGTCATTAGGATTACAATCCAAATGAACCATAGTCCTAAACTTTGGTGTTGCAATGATCGAATTGTTGCATAGCCCCCCTAATAAAAATTTGACAAATCCTCGTTCTAAAGTTAGCGCACCATTAAGGTAAGTAAATATTGGTAGGCACACAGGTAACCACTTGCAAGGAAGGAAAGATCAAGAGCTAGGACTAAGTGCATGAGTTACAGTTGTTGGCTGGGAATTGTAAGCCGAAGAAGCATTTATGTGACCTGACCGTATGTGTGGTTTCTTTTTCAATAATAAAGCTAAATAATTAGGCATCAAAATTCAAAAAGCCCCTCATGCAATAGTTCATTAAGTTAGGGTTTGATAGTTTCCATCACTTCAATCACCCGTCATGAACAAACTAATCACACAATGCTCTACTCTAGGCTCATAAAGGTGAAGTGATATGAGTCAACACTTGCACATCACCACTAGAGAATTACACCACAACACAATATCAATATACTGAACTATATTCAACTTCACAAGATTAATAACAACAAGGTTTATCCCATGTCCTCAAGAATGTTATTGAGTACTCACAACACATTATAGAGATCCTGGTCAGTGAAGATGAATATATGAATAACAGTCTAAACAAATGAATCTTTCATCAATAAAACTTGTAAGCATCAACTACAAGGAGTAATTAACGCCAGAAATTATACTCAGCAAAGGGTGAGGTAAAAGTTCATTGATCAGAAAGCTAGGGTTGAGGGAGCTGATGGATATGACACTGTTGATGGAGATGATGATCGAAGTGTTGATGATGGCGATAACTTCAAATTCCCCCTCCTAGAGGGATAGATCTCTCGTAGAATCAGCCTGTCGGAGGGCAAAAGTGCTCCGCCTTGAGACAGTGGCAAAAAAGCCCTCACTGATTTTTAGGTCAGATGGAAAATATAGGCCAAAGGGTGTCGGAATGCGAAGGCCAGGGGCTCCACACGGCCTAGGGGTGAGTGGAGGCGGACCCCTCGACGTATCTTGTGGCTCCTGGCTCCTTTTCTTCCAAAACATTTTTTTGGTCTTTTTGGAGCTCAGAAGATTTGTTTTTTCTTCCGGTACATTTTCTCTCATGTTTTCGTAATTTCCCGGCAAATTCCCTCTCGTGTGTTTCATGCAAATTGAAAGGAAAAAGAAATTATAAGTGGGAAACAATATGTAAAATATCAATAATAAAGAGAAAATTATAATAAGAAATGGTGTTGCAAAATGAATGTATCACCATTCACCAAGCACCTCGGTGAGGTTTTCTCCCTCAGCTATATTATTGTCTTCACTTTGATATCATATTTAGCCCCGTCTCATAGTCCACCCACGTGTGATGTTGTCTCCAACTACATTTTAAAGAACAAAACCAATGGCGATACTATATTTCAAGCCATGTGTCTCTCATTAAAACATTTTTTTCCGTGAGAGATGATGTTTCTATTAATAGCGATACGGTGAATTCTTTGATCTTGAAAGCTCTGAGATTCTAATTTTGAAGTATGTGTTGTGTGAGTGAGTGGATGGGTGTGTGTAATGGTGTGTGTGTTGACCTCTACATTGTACCGCTATTTACAACAAATTCAAAACTTTGTTTAAGGAAATGCATTGCCTGCTAATTTTCCATTGAGTCATTTTTTAAAAAGAAGTCAAATCTTCTTGAGAAACAAATTTTCCACCTTATTTTAGATCATCGTCTGCCATTTTTTGGAGGTAACTGCTTCATTTGTGAGAGGCCGCCTTAATCTCACATTAACTAGCAAGAGAACAAAAATGAAATGAGTACTATGCGCAAAAATATACATTGAGCGTGTGCTCGCGGGTGAATACGACCTGCGACGCTGGTGCAAGATGAGGCCACCAGAGGCTACCACAAGGCATGTGATGGCTACAAAACATGTGAACATGCCGATGTAAACCAAAGCGGAGCCATGGCCAACCTCAAAGGCACTCGCCGCCCTCGCGTTCCTTTCCCTGTTATCACCATATTCGAGATATGCCTCCACCACCAGGTCTTCTCCTCACTAGGCAACCACCTCGATGAGCTTTTCTCCCGCAACTATATTGTCGCCTTCGCTATGGACATCATCGCTGACCCATCTCACAACCCACCGAGTGCAAGGCTGTCATCGATTACATATTAATGAATAAAACCCATGGCAATGCTATATGTGATGACACACATATTTTTCATCAGTGACGACTCGCTGGACCTTCAATCCCGAAAGCTCTGACGCTCTGATTTTCAAGCATGCGTCGTGCGAGCGAGTGGTGTGTGTTGGTGCGCACGTCGACACCTACACAGTTTCACTGTTTTACAAGGAACTCAAAATTATGTTTCATTTAATACTTTTTGAACACTTGTTGTTTCTCCTGCCAAAGGTGCCCGACCTCTCTTGTTGTTTCTCATGGCAAGAGAACAAAAATGAGTACTATGTGCAAAATCATAAGTTGAGCGTGTGCTTGTGGGTGAATCCGGCCTGAGATGCCAGTGCAAGTTGAAGCTACCGAAGAGTGCCAAAAGGCAGGTGATGACTACAAAATACATGAGCGCGCCGACGTGAACCAAAGCGGAGCCATGGCCAGCCTCGAAGGCACTTACCACCCTCGCCTTCCCTTCCCTAGTGTCACCATCCTCAAGATATGCCTTCACCGCTATGTTCTCTTCTCACCAGCCAACCACCTCGATGAGCTTTTCTCCCGCAACTATATTGTCGCCTTTGTTCCGGACATCATCAGCTGCCCCATCTCACCGCCTACCGATCAAGGTTGTCATCCATGGCATTTTAATGAATAAAACCCCACGACATTGCTATATTTGATTGACCACACATGTATTTTCCATCAACAACAACGCGGTGGACCTTCAATCCTGAAAGCTCCGATGCTCTAGTTTTTAAGCATGTGCCTTGTGAGCGAGTGCGTGTGTGATGGCGCGCCCATCGACACCTACACTGTCCAACTGTTTCGCTATAAACTCAAAATTATGTTTTGAAAGACGCACATTTTGTTCAAAACCTTTTGAAATACTCCCTCCATTCCTAAATATTTGTCTTTTTGAGATTTCAAATGGGCTACCACATACAAATGTATATAGACATATTTTTGAGTGTAGATTCACTCATTTTGCTCTGTACGTAGTCGCTTGTTCAAATCTCTAAAAAGACAAATATTGAAACGGAGGGAGTAATAAATATGACACTGCCTTGTACTTGTACGACAGTAGGAGTATTTCTCCTGCCAAAGAGCCTCTGTATGACCCACACCGATCTTCCCCTTGGCTCTGTGTCGGTGCCAGTCCCCCCGCAGACGCAGCACACGTGGCGCTTGCACGGGCCCCAACGGCCCGGATGCTCCCATGTGCAGGCTTGACTCCGGACCGGATAGCGATTACCCACGCAAGCCGAGCCCTCCTCGTAGCCCGCAACCAATTATCAATTTTTATTATCGCACCATTCGTCCGCCTAACGGTTCGGCGCGGCCGCACCTGCGTGCGCGACACGAAGTACCGGAAACACCCCTGCCCTCTTCGAGCCCGTCGGCCCCGGGCACGGCCGGAGGACGGGGGCAGCTTCGAAACACCGGCTCGCTGGTGTGCGCGCCTGGGCAGCCTCCACTTTGTCGGTCTGCGTAACTCGCCGTCTCTCCTCCGCGAGCAGAGGCAGAAAATGGACGGTGCCGAGTTTCACTTCGCCCCCTGCACTTTCCTGCATGCCCAGGCCAGTTCGGCTCCGATTAGCTCGACATGTTTTTTTGGGGAGATAGTACTAGTATTTTGAAGCAACACGTGAGCAGAAAACTTTGACATGAATCAGCGCTGGTGAAGTGGACTGAACACTGAATTTGGACGCTATTTGGTACCCACCTGTAGTAGTACTTCCCTAAAAAAAGGAACAAGTTAATAATGATCCTAAAGGGATAGGTCTAAAGATGGCACGCATTAATAGGGCAATAGTTTCATGCCATTCACCTGCTTGAGTATATCGGGTAATCCTAGCCAATTATGACGGACCAAAGTAAGCACTGTGGTGATCGGAAAAGCCCCGCGGTTCCAGCGAGTTTTTCACATTCATCCACAGGGACACCAAAGTTGTCTTCAACAAGAATCTAACGTGATTAATGTATTTTTTTATGAAATATTTGGACCGTGTTTGGTATGACGCTGGATTTTGAATTGATCATCATGTTTTGTCTAGCCTTTTTTTGCATAGTTTTACAAAATGCAAAAATAGTTCAGCACAACATCAGTTTGGTAACAGGATAATAAGCACAGATTATCAAAAAAAACAGGATAATAAGCATTTCATGCGTGCAGAAACTGAAGAAAATACACTACTCATTTTTTAGAAAAAAATTACACCCATTATTGCCCCCAAGGAAAGAGAGGCAAGATGTTAATACGAGGGGCCTCCTACGGAAACACGTAAATGCCAGGGGCTTTCATGGAAAGATAAAACCTCGCAGAAAAGCCCTTTCCCCTTTCGTTCTCGATGGGATATTCCCACGGAATTTATATTTCCGCTCCTCGCCTCGCCTCGCCTCTGACCTCTCCCTCTCCTCCGCTCCCCCATTGCCCCTCGCCCTCCGCCTCGCGCCCTCCAGGAGCTTCGCATCGCGATCGCCTCCGCCGCCGCGAGCTCCCGTCCCATGGTGGGCGCGCCCGCCGGCGGCTAGGGCTCCCGCCTCCCCCACGGTTCGCCCCTGCCCGGCCCGCAATTTTCCGCGATTTCTGGGGCGATTTCTCCGGAACCCTCCGCCATTTGTCGGCGCTGCTCCCCCGAATCGTACGCAGGGCTTTGGCGGGACTCCTCCTAAGGCGGAGGAGATGAGCGGGGAGGTGGAATGCAGCGTGTGCCACGCCAAGGTTGCCGTGCCGGCGGCGGCCGTGTCCAAGGCCTACGACAGCCACCGGAGCACCGTGTCGTCGCGGCAGCGCGCGCTTAACGTCCTCCTCGTATCCGGCGACTGCGTCCTCGCCGGCCTCCAGGTCACGCTTGCTTCCTCTCTGCATTCTGCTCGGTGTTATCAGTGTGTCTGGCCTGTCTCGAATTTGCTAAGTGTCATACTGTCGTGTAACGATTGAACAGTTAGTGTTGTGCTGCGATGGGATGGTGGAGGGGGCGAATTGAGTGGTTTCGGGGTTAATTAATTCGCTGTTTTGTGCATATGGTTAGCTGCAGTAGCGGCTGATGCTAGTTTTTCAGTATGGAGTTTCCTGAGCTCTGTTTCTCAGTGTCAGTTTTGTATTACTAGAGTGACTAGACGGCGCCCATTGTTGCAGAAGGGGGGCATTAATAGATGAAAAAGTACTGATGTTTTGAAGTGCTTCCTTGGATGCTCTCCACTGTATACTGATGTTAGCATTTGCCTAGAAACACGTGCCAGCTGCCTGTAGAAGAACCGATATCTGCTTACTATCTAGACTTTTCTATAACTCGTATCGCTGATACCTAACAGTAAATTAATTCTAGGATTTATTAAGACTAGAGTAACAGTGTTAATAAATTATGTAGCCAACTGAGCATCTTCATCCAGGTTTTCATTAACTTATGGGCATTTCATGTTGCACATTCTCATGTCTGTTGACACATTTCTACCTCCTTTTCTGTAGCCGATATTGGTATACATGTGTAAAGTGGATGGGAAATTCAAATTTAGCCCAGTCAGTGTGAACTTCTTGACAGAGATTACAAAAGTTATCTTTGCCATCATCATGCTGTTCTTCCAGGTATGTGGAATCATCGCCAGTTCCGTTGTAATCCGTTGCTTTGATATGATTCGTCTTCATGTCCATATTCTTTAGTTTGATTATTATCGAGATTAGAAAATAATCTAATTCCTGTGAGGTTAGGTGTTCTGTTTGTTCACTTGAGTTTGCTGCCAAGTTAGCTGAATGAACATTCTGTATAATATTCTCACGTTTTATTCGCAACATTGATTAGATAAGACTTCCTTTTGTGGTGATTTCTGTGACTGACTCCCTTATCATGTTTGGTTTTACCTCATGCAGGCTAGGCGTGTAAAGGTGGGAGAGAAGCCACTTCTCACAGTTTCAACATTTGTGCAGGTGAGTAACTATGCAACATCTTGTCAATTCCTTGCCTGATTTCAATTGAAAAACCCGCATGATGGATATGCATGCTATCTTGTTTGAAGAGAACTTGTGGTTGTGTATCCCCATTACCTGGCCATATGCTGTCAAATTGCTACACGATAGCATAACTTAACTGATGGCTAATCATTTATTACTTTCTACTGTCCGTCAGTCTACCTATATTTTTGTTGTGAAGGCAAAAATAGCAGAAATTCAGTGATCTAATATGTGATGCTAATTATTTACCATTTGACAGGCTGCCCACAACAATGTTCTTCTCGCGGTGCCTGCTTTTCTCTATGCCATCAACAATTATTTGAAGTTTACAATGCAGGTAAAGAATTGATAAGACCTCGGTAATTTGACTTGGCATAGTAACCTTTTCTCACTCTCTCTTTTCTGTTAAAAAAGTAAACTAGCGGAGCCCAACATTTATATTGGTGTAACTTGAATCTGGTGCAAAATTTCTAACCAACAGAATTGTTCCTCTGTGTTATGCAGCTATACTTTAATCCTGCGACAGTGAAAATGCTGGGTAATCTCAAGGTATTGTAGTTTCCTTCTTTACAAGATGCTAGATGTCTGAGTCTTGGTAGTTGCACAATCTCAAGGTTGGTCCATGCATGCATGGGCCACACATTCTTTCGTTCACGATTTACTTGCAAGATACACAACCTCCTTTTTTTTAGTTGGATGCATGACCTCCTAGTAATCTCAGTTTTGGAATATGCCTTTCAGCCATTAACATTCATTTGGGGCCTGGCTGCATCTGGAGTACACTTTTGTGGTCTGTAACCATAAGTATGTATTATATCGATGTTTGTAGGTTCTGATAATTGCTGTGCTCCTAAAGGTGTTACTGAGGAGGCGTTTTTCCACAATTCAGGTAAGTTTTCTCTTAATTACCATCAGTCATGTATCTGAACTTATTTTGCGATGCCATGAACTTGTGTAATTGACATCATCCTGTTTTTTGTCAACAGTGGGAAGCCCTTGCTCTGTTGTTAATTGGAATATCTGTTAATCAGCTGAAATCACTGCCTGAAGGTTCTACTGCACTTGGTCTTCCTGTTGCAGCTGGGGCCTACCTATACACACTATTTTTTGTAAGTTTTGACTTTTGGCTCAGTTTTTAATTAATTTGTCTCATACTTCCTTTCAAACAATTTGTGCCTGAGTAGCCTGCTGATGAAATTTGGGAGGCTAGCAGAACTATCATTTATGTAATAGTTGTATAGGCCCTGCTCCTTAGCTGTAATTAATCAGAAATGTTGTAGTTTTTTGTCTGGTTGGTACAGTGCTTGGTGCATGCTATTTCTTGCTTTCAACCATATTACTTGATATTACGGTTCAGCTTTTGGTTACCTGCAACTTCAGCGTCTACCTAATATGATCCAGAACTTGTAGTAATTTTCCAGTGGAAAGAATAATTGGCTGTGTAAGCACTCTGGGATAGAATTTATACATTCAAATGTTTCACATGGGGACAATATGGAGCTTTTCTTTCTCATTTGAATGTTGTTAACAAAGTGTTAAAATGAATTTTTTTAGAGAGTAGAATTAAGGTGACATGTGACATTGCGTACTAATTTTGTGCGCAATCAGATAACAGTTCCTGCATTGGCCTCAGTTTACAATGAAAAGGCTCTGAAAAGCCAGTTCGATACCAGCATATATCTTCAGGTATGACCATATCCTTGTGTACTCTTCTATGGCTATTTCTGTCAGGCACTATTTGCTACTCAATGACAATGTCCTAAGTATATTAATGCATTTGTTCTATTTCTCTAAAAAGCTACTTCTCATCATGCTTGTCATCTTTACAGAACTTATTTTTGTATGGATATGGTGCAATATTTAATTTCCTTGGGCTTGTGATCACTGCCCTCATCCAAGGTAATTTTCTGGAGTACATCTCTTTCATGATAAACAGTGTAACTTTTGTGTCCTTTTCTTTTGTTCTGTGTTGTGTTGCCAAAACATTTTGCTCTGTGGATACAAATTGGCCTTATGTTAGCTTGCTATAAGATATTGGTTGTGTAAAATTTACAGGGCCTCGTAGCTTTCACATTCTGGAAGGGCATTCAAAGGCCACCATGTTTCTTATTTGCAACAATGCTGCACAAGGCATACTTTCGTCATTTTTCTTCAAATATGCAGGTATGTTACCAGCATAAAAACTTCCCTAGTAATTGTTTGACATGCTCTTGAAATGTACCACGTTTCTTCAGTATCCTTGAAGACTTCTTATTCTATTTACGTGGCATGTACACACCAAAACTTTGCCATTAAATATTCAGCATCTAACTAATCGAAGTTTTTGCTTAAAATCGGAGTACACAAAACACACTGAACATGAGCACTAATTATTCAGTCCTAAGTCATGGGAGCATACATATATACATGTATATTCTAATTCTATGATGTGCAATTTGGTTACTGTATGTTAGTTTTGGAAAGTGAATGTGGTGAGATTCAGCACATTAATGGTGAATGCAGATACAATTTTGAAGAAGTACTCATCCACAATCGCCACAATCTTTACTGGGATAGCGTCTGCTATACTGTTCGGTCATACTCTGACTATAAATTTTGTTCTTGGAATATCGATAGTAATTATATCTATGCATCAGGTAACCTGCCTTCCCTTCTTTGTTGATTCAATCATTGAAGTTACTTCTACCCTTACATGTTTTTGATGGGTCTTTGTTGCAGTATCTCGCAAACCAAATTAAGGATCAAGTGCCAAGCAGCAAAATTGAGATGTCTGATGCTGAGGATGACAGGTCAGTCATGTTTTGTACTCGACTAGTTGATACTTGGTGCACCCAAATTGCTCTGAAGTTTCATCCTGCGATCCGCCTTCAGAAGAAATTAATTGTTTTCTTCTGTAGCCAATGAAAACTTGATGCACTTCATTAGTAATATACTAATATGTGTGTTTTGATGGATGCCTTGTCCAACAGATTAGAGGAATCTGTAATTGTCAAAGTTGACACGGTGGCAAGTGAGGTAACTATACTTTCAAGGCGCTGTTTTTGCCAAATTTGTAAGTCTGACAACCATTCCATATGTGCATACAGGCTAAACACCGCCATGGATCTGATGAGAGGCAGCCACTTCTTCCCGTCTGATGTCGTCTAGGAGGTATTTCTCTTCTTTTAACGAATAGTACTAGCATAGGGCCTTTGCTCTCCACCATGCACCCATGTGCATCTTATCAATGGATTCATCATGTCTAACGGTCTGTCTTCTGAATGTTTATCAACAATTTCAGTTCCTCCGGTCCATATGTATATCCGAACTCTTCCTTTCGACAGGGAGATGAGCAGCGTAGATGTCGCAAACGCAGCGTCTGCACCTGAAGCAGAGCATGTGATGATTTATATAGCCTTGTAGCCTTTTGACCTGATGTTCCTGAGGCTGCACTATGATGTTTAAAGGGGTACTATCAGAGAGATGCCCATTCGGTAGCACGATGGCGAGCTTGCTGGGATACTGTAGAGGGGAACAAATGAATTGACCTTGTTGTCGTGAAACTGATGTGATGGATTAAAGAATAAATATATTCAGCATTTCAGCCCACATTCAAATGGTTTCATCTTTTTGTTTTTGCCCAACCCAGTAGCAGTTTCTTCTCGAGAGTGGCGTTTTGATATACTCCTGGATTTTAAAATGTGTTCTAAACATATTTTAAAATGTCACAAAATTCTGACAAGATGATTCTTGCGTACATCTCGATATTCTACGTGCATATAAACTCGTTTAGTGGAAAATCGAGAACTTTTGTCTCACATGCAAGAAAGGAAAAATTTAGTGTTAAAAAAGGCTTTTCATGAGACATGTTTTTTTCTTTTTTACATAAGGTGTATGAAATGTCGGGTTTTCACCGAAACTTGCCGTGTGTAAATACAATGTTGAGATGTGCACGTCAAATTTGTGTTCGGATTTTTTGACATTTTGAAATATATTTTTCGATGGTAGGAGCATATGCTCCCATGTGCCAAAGTAAATTTCGTTTCTTGTGCACTATGCTAGTAGTAGTTTACTCCATCATGTTAAAAAATGTTAAGATGATTTTTTTAGACAAATGGCAACTTTATTTATACAAACAGAGATTGTTCATTACATACAATGTTCTTGATTATCTCAGGAACTTCATCGAACCAACATGACCCAAGATCATGTTCCGATGATTTTGCCAGAACATGAGCTGCCATATTACATGACCGACTAACATGAGTAAACAAACAAGATACAAACTTTGGAGCCCTACTCTTAGTATAAAAAACGATGACACCTGATTGAGATCTGTCCATCGCAGCAGTTGTCACTTTGCTGACCAAAGTGGTGCAATCAGATGCGACGACAATTCTTTGGAAGCCCGCTTCTTTAGCAAATTCTAGTGCACAACAGATAGCAATGGCCTCCGCCGGTTCAGGGTTAACCACTTGGTCCACATACCTCCTTTTGGTTGCTAGCACTAGTCCGAGGTGACTTCTTATTACTATGCCCACTCCCATTCGTGATGACTGGGAGAAGATTGCAACATCAACATTTATCAACACCGAACCCTCCGGCGGCGCAGACCATTTCTGGACTGATGTTTGGCTCTCACGCCTAGTGGACTGCTTCAATCTGAAATTGTTCAATAAGATGAAATCAATATAGGCTTTAATCTTCCCAGCCACACGATGCGGATGAGGCAAACTCTCACTATTTCTTATGTTATTTCTGTTACCCCAGATGTGCCATATAGCCACAGCAAAATACATTGTGTGAAGATCTGATGCAACATTTACCCATTCCAGCAACCATTGCCGAATATTGATAAACCCCTTCAGATTTAGCAAGATATGAAAAGACCTTTTCAGCTCGGCCCAAATTTCTTTGACATAATGGCAAAACAAGAAGCAATGTTCCACTGTCTCAATTCTATTACAAATAAAACACTCGGACTTCGTAGGAATTCTACATTTCTGGAGTTGTTCACCAGTAGGTCGACAATTAATTATGAGCCATTCTCCATAAGATTATCTTCATTCTATTTGGGCATTGTATCCTCCAGAGTTTCCTCCATATTTTCCCTGTTTTCTTCAAGTTTGAGGTTGATCCTCTACCATCAGAGCTGCAGTACTGCCAGAAGGATAAGGATCTTGCAAGGTTATACCTAGACCATACTGTGTAGGTGCCTCCATTGGTGTATGGCCATGATGCGAAATCCGAGCACCCTTCTCAACTTAGAGGGATCTTGAGAATCTTTACAGCCAGGTCTTTTCGAAACATTTCACTAACAGCCACACCGTTCCATGATTTTCCATAAGTTGAAAACAAATGGTTGACAGTCTTATCCTCCTCCACCGGGAAATTTGTGCAAGGGATGCTAGGAAATGAGTCTGGGATCTAATAATCTTTAATCAAAGATATTTGCTTTCCATCTCCTCACTACAAAAAAAAGACACATCCGTGACATTTTGGGCCGAACGAAATTTTTTTCTGTCATACATATGACACTTCTATGACGATAATTGTGACAAAACCTGGTATCATCATAGATGTGGTGGACTCCTACTTCTATGACAAAAAATCATGACAGAAAATGGGCTTTTCGTCCTGGGCGGGCCGGAGACGCAGCTGCATGACATTCTTTGGACCGTCCTTGACGGAAAAAATCGTGGTAGAAGCGAGGGGGAGGAAAATTTCGGGGAGTTCCCGGTTACGGTGGGAGGTCGGGGGCCGAGCGATGCGTGTTTCTCTCATACACGTACGCGCGTGTGTGTGAGACGTTGGCTCTAACTGAACCCGAGCGAGGCGTTGGGCTTTAACTGAACCCGAACGATTGCACTGCAGGCTATGCGTTACTGAACCCGAGCGATCGATCGATGGCTATTAACTGAACCCGATTGAGTGATTCCTTCGCTACTGCTGCTAACTGAAGCCGATCGATGCTG